AATGTATATATATTGAACACCACCTAGTTAGTTGGTGAAATATTCTAAATCTGAAAATATGTAATGTATAATGTATATATATTGAACACCACCTAGTTAGTTGGTGAAATATTCTAAATCTGAAAATATGTAATGTATAATGTATATATTGAAAACCACCTAGTTAGTTGGTGAAATATTCTAAATCGTCTCTGCATTCATATTAGACTATTTCAAAGTTTTAGAATAAAAATTGAATATATCTCCCCCCTGTGGGCTGTATACGGAGAAAACTGAGGATTAAAATACCAATTTAAAATGAAGAATCATTCTTACAGTGTAATTTACATTAGGGAACTACACAAACTCATTTCTGTCCTAAACCAATGTGCAATATTTGGATTTATTAAAGAAGAAATAAATTATCAGACTTAGCCATGGACTCTTCGGACAATCTTGGTGAGATTAGAATTTTTATTTCCGCTGTAAGGAGTATCATAAGTCACCCTTCAAATATGACTTTAAATTCAAATTTTGTTTTTATATTGTTTTTATTTCTCTTTAATTTCTTCTCTATGTACAGGGTGTCCAAAAAACATGGGAACTCAGTGACGAATTCGAAATCGTCTTTGTTATGAATTAGCATTGTAATGCCTAATTTCAAAAGCTATAATATTATTATGTCTGCTAGAGTTTATTTTATGAAAAGGGTAAAAGACTGTAAAGATGTGTCTATAATGTCTCCGCAAGATGAACAGTGAAGGCGGACAAGTTTACTCTGTTTGACATATTTGTATACTGCAATTTTCTTGTTTTACTAAGTACAACTGTATGCAGTCAAAACATAAACAAACAAATTGTGAACATAACAGACGAAACTCATACAGATTACAGCTTTCTCACTAGGTATCACTATTCTAAATCAAAGAATTATTTAAAAAGACGATATCGAATTCGTCACTGAATTCCCATGTTTTTGGGACACCCTGTATCTTGGTTTTCTTCTCGATTTACATATTTTT